CCCCCCCCCCCCGCTCATGACCATCTCACAATACTGCAGGTGACCAATTATTTGTTCCTGTTCCAGATGCTCCGCAGAAACTGATCATCCGCATCTTCAGGGGAAATAGCACAGGTGGGAGACACCTGGGGCACAACTGATGTCTCAGAGGTCAGATAAGGGAATGTTGTAAGGGTCTGATGGAATGAAACCCCATGGCTCCTTATCCCCTCCCTGGTCCCGCCCCCTGGCCGGACTCTCTAGAATCACTGTGAGTCCTATTCCACCATGTGCTGTCACCACGGCTGCCTCCTCTCCCCTGACCTCTCTCCCCTCCTTGCCATCATTCCGTTTTCCTGATTCTCCGCTTCTCCTGTGACCATGACATTGCACTGTCCCACAAGGCATCTTAAATACAGCTTCCTGTTGCCAGGCTCCGGGCCTCTGGCTGCTTCCTGCGTGACCCCGTGGGTAAGCCCGTCCCCTGGTGCTTCCAGTCCTACGTCTGCCCTGAAGACCCCCACAGATCTCTGTCCCGTCCCGATCGTCCTGAGTGCACTCCCCTGCCACTGGTGGGAGGGCCTTCCTCCTGAACTACCTGAGTCAATATCCTGGAAGTCACTTTAGACATTTCTGTACCTCGCCCAACACTCCCCATGACTCAGTGAGTTTTGCAAACTGGACTTCCTGAAAATGTCACAGTGGCTCTCTTCCTCCACCCCCACAGCAGCAGCCCCGCCTCGGGCCTCTGTCTCTCTTACCTGGACACAGTGAGACCACCTGCACCCTGGTCCAGCCTTCTCTGTTCAGTCTCTGTCCCCTCCCCGTCCTGCCCGCTGCAGTTGGGCCCAAATGCGTCTCTACATGTCCCAGATCGGACCCTGTTCCTCCCCTGCTCAAAACCCTCCCATGGCTCCCCGTGGCCCTCAGAGGAAAGGCTGAGAACATCACCTGTGTGTGAGCCTCCGAATCTTCCCTGCAAGTGGTCAGACCTACCTGTGTCCACACCCCTCCTCGGCATCACGCACCAAAGTCCACGTCCTGGGATGTTCTCTGCCAGGTCTAGACATGGCCAACTCTTGCTCAGAGGTCCATCTGCCTGTCCTGGGATCACCGGGTACCTGTCCTCACTTCCCCTGATGGGTCTTCACTCTTACTTGCCTTAGCTTGGAACGCTTGTCTGCGAGACACTATATTCCACCCCCTGTGTCTGTGGAAGGACAGAGGGAGAGAAGGGGCTGTCAGTCCTGCCCTTCTGACTCTCTCTGTCCCCTAGTCCCAGAGGCCCTGGGCAATGCCACCTCTCTGCGAGTTGAGGAGGGCCAGTCCCTACGCCTGGTCTGTGACACTGACAGCCACTTCCCCGCCAGGCTGAGCTGGTCCCGGGGAAGCCTGACCCTGAGCCCCTCCCAGCCTTCAGATCCCGGGGTCCTAGTGCTGCCCCGGCTGGTCTTGGGGGATGGAGGAGAATTCACCTGCCGAGCTCAGCACCCGTGGGGCTCCAACCACGTCTCCCTGAACCTAATTGTGCAGGGTGAGTGCACGCAGGACACCTGCATTCCGAGGTGGGGCTGTGGACAGGACCAAGGTGTGGACTTAAGGAAACTCACTCCCATCCTCTTGCCCCAGGAATCTCCTGTTCCTGCCCCCCGCTATCTGGGGAGCCGTGGAACACCTGGCCTCTTGTCCTCACCCTGCTCAGAGGGGCCCTCATGGGGGCTGGCTTCCTTCTCACCTATGGCCTCACCTGCATCTACTACACCAGGTGAGAAGCCCTTTCTCAAGACGTCCCAGATTTGGGTGACCCCTCGGGTGACATCACATTCCTTGTCCTTTCCAGAGCAAACCCTCCACGGAACTGGTCTCTCATTTCGGAACTGTGTTTTCCACCAGGTTCAGAGGCTCCAAAGAGGATAAGGCTGCAGGTTGTAAGTGAGCCCCCTTCCTCGCCGTGATGCCGATGCCTGACGGCTGAAGATCCACCCAACTATCAGATCCCGAGACTCACCCTGGCACAGCTCTTGTGGAGCCCGGCGGTGCTGGATGGCGTGGCCCTGCCTCTTCTCCAGAACTACAGTCTCTTCACCTCTGCTGCCCGAGAAGCTCCCTGGTGGTTCTGCACCAATGGTGGGAGAGGGCAAGTGAGGGGGTGGATAAATCTTTGTTATTATTAATTGGAATTATGTAGCCCCTTTGTAACATTTTGCTTCTACCTTAATGTGGTTGGGATAAGCCCATAACTCAACCCCATACTATATTGTTATAAATCTCATAATATTATTATTTTGAAAACAGCGAATGTTAAAGAGATCTTTTTTCTCTCTTTTTCGATGTTTCCTTTCTTTTTTTTCTTCCTTCTTTTTGAATCCAAATTAGTTAACATATAGCATAATAATAATTTCAGGAATAGAATTTAGCGATTCATCGCCTACATAGAACACTCAGTGCTCCTCCCAACAGGTGCCCTCCTTAATGTCCCTTGCCCATTTAACCCCCACCCCCACCCAATACCTCACCAGCAACCCTCAGATTGTTCTCTGTATCTAAGAGTCTCCTAAGATTTGTCTCCCTTTCTGCTTTTGTCTTACTTTTGCTTCCCTTCCCTTATGTTCATCTGTTTTGTCTCCTAAAGTCCTCCTATGAGTGAAGTCATAGGATATTTGTCTTTCTATGACTGACTAATTTTGCTTAGCATAATACCCTCCAGTTCCATCCACGTAGTTACAAATGGCAAGATTTCATCCCTTTTGATTGCCGAGTAATACTCCATTGTATATATATACCACATCTTCTTTATCCGTTCATCCATCGATGGACATTTGGGCTCTTTCCATACTTCGGCTATTGTTGATAGTGCTGCTATTAACATTGGGGTGTACGTGCCCCTTCGAAACAGCACACCTGTATCCTTTGGATAAATACCTAGTAGTGCAATTGCTGGGTCATAGGGTAGTTCTATATTTTTAATTTTTTGAGAAATCTCCATACTGTTTTCCAGAGCAGCTGCACCAGTTTGCATTCTCCACAGCAGTGCAGGAGGGTTCTTCTTTCTCCACATCCTCGCCAACATCTGTTGTTTCCTGAGTTGTTATAAAGAGATCTCTTTTGGGGCGCCTGGGTGGCGCAGTCGGTTAAGCGTCCGACTTCAGCCAGGTCACGATCTCTCAGTCCGTGAGTTCGAGCCC